CGCGACAGGGTAAGTAGATGAGGCCGGTTGCTGAAAAGATAATGAAGGAGCCCTTGCTCTCCACACTCTCCCTAACATCGACAAACGACACATAAGAGCTAAGTAAAAAGAGCAGAAGAATAGCAAACAGAAACGTCATCTCACCTGTAAGAGGTCTGCGTCCGAACCTTTCATAAAAGGTCGACCATGTGTGAACCCCTACTATATGAGGAAGGATGACACTCACCCATTCGCGAATACCTTTGACAGGCGGAGGGGGCAATTTCTCAGCTGCAAAGACATGATAAAGTTTAGTACCATAACAGAAAACGGTCGGGCATCTCACCGACTGAAAATACAAAAACTTACGTGCAAAGTTCCACTTCTCAAGGATCCCGTTGGGTCCACCACAATGTGCGCAGTGCGCACGTAAAAATAGTTCTCGTAGAAATGACGGTTAGTCTTGTCGTCCATCTTCACCACCAGACTCTTCGACCCCCAAGGACGCATGTGAATCATCGTACCGCGAATAAGTTGAGGGGCGAAGATGCTGAGCATATGGCCCAAAGTGACCTCACAACCGGCAAGTTCTGCGAACTTAAGCAGCATAAGGAATAACTTGTACAAATACGGCGAAAGTTGAGTGGGGCATACCTCGTAAAAACGGCAAAAATCCACCGCCAACAAAGGAAGAGGAAGTGTATACCAATAAGAAAGGGGTAGGCATAGAACACGCAATACCTAGGGCGGTCGAAATGAACTATGTCGTTCCCCACTGCCGGCCGCATATCAACGTAATTGGGGATTTCCCACCTTTTCTTTCAACTCTGCAATGTCCCTCTCTCTCACAATGGAGTGGACAGGTTCTGGTTCCACCCCGGTGCGAGTACTGAAGTCGATCAACTCTCTCCCGGAACGAGGTAGGATCTCAACCATCGATGAGACCTCCTCATCTTCCACCGCATCTACCCCTCCGGTGGCCTGAGCAGCACTTTCCGGTGCCGAAACTGTGGCGGGAAGATCGGTGCGAGAGAAATCACCAGCCATTTTGTACAGATGAGGCGGCAAAAAGACATCGGGAAGAAAAGATGGAGATTTTCGGTTAATTAAAGGCAAATGAAAACTTAGAGTGTCAGAAGGAAAATATATCTGCAGAATTCTCTCAAGCAAAAGGTAAAGAAGTGTGTCAATCGAATGATAAACTCCCTCTATTTATAAGAGACATAAATCCCCCGAGCACGAAACTCAAGAGTCGCCAAACGAATTTGATAGGGCACGAAATGTTTCAGTTCCCCAGGAATGTGTGTCATAATGGCAATAACCACGAAATGATGCTTTGATGCCAAACGGCGTTTCGGTTCCGAAACCGCCGCAACGGTCCATGGGTATCGAAAGAACGCCACCACCCCGCCTAAAAACCCAAGTAATGTAGCTAAGGAATGAGAAGTCAGAAGTCAGATTTAGCTCGACTTCGTAGCGATCATGATCCGTGAGGACGATCCCGACAGACGGAGGGACTAATTGTATTGGTCAAAATCTGACCGTCACGACCGAACTGATCAACGTCCCGCCTAAGAGACCAGGCAGTGAAAGATAACATAGTCCACTCTACACCCTTTTCCCGATATCCATCGAGTTGGAAGGAGGAGCGCCTAAAGGGAGGACTAAGACACATTGGAGGCAGGCGAGCGTCGGACCAAGCAAAGAGCAAGGGTGCCTCGACTATATATAGTAAGGGAAAACCTTCGATTAGGGGGGTTGCTCCCTCCATTCTCTCTCCGAAGCTCTCTTCTTGTATTCTTGATAGGAAAGAAGTAATCTATAGAAGAAAATGTAAAGCTATCTCCCAATCGATCGATGGGAAACACAATATAGAATTTCAATAAGATCATTTACATCTCTTTTATCTTATATACGATCCATGCTATTAGCTCATTGATCCGGGATTAATTATATTTGACTAAGATTTACCCCTTCATCTTCTTTGATTGATTTGTTCAAAAAAGTTTCGATATCTTTTGAGTCAAACAATAATATTAAGTAATTTTAATCTCAAGTAGTCGTTATTGCTAGTAAGCATTATTTTTGCTTTCATTAGGTCATATATTTTTAAAAATTTGCTTTAGTTTCAAGTAAGTGCAGGTATTTTTAAAAAAAATCTCACTCCATATAATTTTAGGTCCACCTCATCATTTTGTTATACTTTCAGTCACCGTGATTTAATGCTTAGGGACTAATACATTTAATATATGTTATAATAGCAATGCATACTGAGTGCTAGAAATTGACTACGTCTACACACTAGAGATATTAAATATGTTTCATTCACTAACCAGCAGAAAACATTTTGAAAGAAAATAACTTTTATGGAATATTTCTCATATCCAACACAATTTGTAACTGAAAAACCAAAAACAAAATTTTTTCATGTCAATGGCACTACCTACAAACTTTCTAGGGGATATAATCCACTTTGAGATATACACGCAATTGAACACTTAGTATTTAATCAAATAATTTTATATAAAATGAGATGAATGAAGTACAAAAGAGAAAAAAAATCATCAAGGAATAGGGTAAAAGTTGTGGATAAGATTCTTCTATCTCTAGTGTTTCGAGTTCGAGCTCTAAAATTAAGAAACCCTTAATAATAAATGACACAGAATCAAAATAATATATATCACAAAAAGAAAAAAGAAAAAAAAGGATAAAGAACCAAGTGGTCATTATCGTGTGTGCAACCTTTTTAACTGCCCCCAGCTGGTAGCCGCGTTGAACAGATTTTGACCTAAATACCCACAGTGTGAAAAAGAATTACAGCCGTTTTTCACTGTTTCCCCCGTCTGAGTCAGTCCTCAGCCGCCCATTTAAATTTCTTTTTCCATTGCAATTTGCAATTTACAAGTTGAACTACCTCACCCACTCCACTGTTTTAAAAGAGAACTAATCATTTGGTCCTTCTAATCAAATTAAATTATTATTTCTATATAGAATCTTAAATTAAAACGAATAAATATTAATTAATTATAATTAGATGATAGAAATTTGTCTAAAAGACATGCTTTCTAAGTATTTCATTTCGAAATATACTAATCTGATTATTCTGAGTTCGCTATACAGAAATTGAACTTAGGCAGTAAAATATTTTTTATAAATTAAAAAAAAAACCTTAAAATTGAACTTGAAATCGAAAAGAACTCACTTAATAGAGGAGTCACATTTTAAAAAGGGGATTAAATTCTTTTCATCCAAAAGTTACACTGTATAATTAAAATAGAAGTCAAATTACTTTCTATACATTAAAATTTTGAAATCTCCGTAAACTAAAAAAATATACTCTATAATGACAAAAATAGCACAAAATATTACGATACATTAACGTTTTACATTCTTTTGAATTCCCTTTTAAAATTCGTGAGTCTACCTTATACCTTTCGAAAGTTAAAAATCACGCATTATTCTTTAATTTTTTCTTCCCACAAACATCAAACTTTTTACAACTTTTAAATTTAAAATTAATTTAAAGACGTGTTAAGTTTGTGGATCGTAGGGGTGGACATCGGTCGGTTCGGTTCGGTTGTGAATGTTATTGGTTTAGCTTATCGGTTTATACGTATGCTAATCCGATAACCAAACCGATAAGATATTGGTTATCTGTTATCGATTAATCAGTTGTTGATCGTTATCGGTTTGGTTATCAGTTTACCGGATAAGATAACTCAATCTAAATTATAGAGGGAAAAAGTAATGAGTGATAATGTATAGCGTATAAAGAATATGATAAATTTTCTCTATATGTTCAACGAAAAATTTGGGAGGGTTACAACAACAGATAGGGAATTGGGAAAACTAGAAAATTTATATATCTAAGGGTAAAATTATATTTTTATAAAGTTTATTGGATTATCGGTTAAATCGTTAATAAAAATGGACAAATCGAGACCCGAACCGATAAACTAATAGTAAAATAACACTAAATCATTACCGAACCGTTAATCTAATAACCCGATACCGATAATCCAATAAGCTTTTTTCGGTTGGGTTATCGATTTTACCCGATATATGTCCGCCCTAGTGCAACGTGTTAGATAAGCTACCGACGTGCTGACGTGTACAGAACAAATCACTAACATTTTCACACACTAACAGTGACGGTAGCCATCTAAAACGGCTAATTTTACTTTTTTTTTTTTTTTTTA